ATAAAAGTCTAATTCCTCAGGTTATTTTTTCATTTTCTCGTGGAGATGATTTTTGAAGATTTTCGTCGAGGACTAAAGAATACGATGAAATTAGTCATAAATGACTAAGGTCTTTATAAAAGCCCAATTGTCTTCATAAGGATTTCACCAATCTCACAAATAACAAACTAAAGTGAAAAGCCCAATAAACGACGGTAGGTCCAAAACCAACATCCATGAGCCAACCTTCACGGCTTCAAAATTCAAACTGATGAACTAAAACAAAATCACAAAATCGTCAGTCAAAATCGAATCTTTTTGCGTAATCTCCGCAAAAATCTGCAAATCAAAGGATTCAGAAACAATTTCGGTTTACCAATCCTCCATCTCTCTATTTCCCAATCCTACGCTACCTGCAAAACTGAGTTCTTTATGCTTAAACATTTCCCATTCCTAATTCTAATAGGACTTCGAATCAAATCAAAAGAAAAGGGGATTCTATAAACCACAACCACGGCTCTACTTGATTTACTATTCCGATCACCGGCCGTTCATCTTAACAATAGAGCTCTGGTCTGCGGCCTTACTGTGGACGACAAGCAGCAGATCCCTTCCCCGCACGGCGGTCGGGGTGCCTCACCCTCCGAAGGCGGCTGCCCCTCTGATCTCCTCTTCCTCGCCGGCGGCGGCGGTGACGGCTGCTCTATCAGGCGCTGCTAACTAGGTTTTTTTTTCGTCTAATTTAATTTTCAAAAAAATTCATCGCGAGAGAGAGATTAGAGTGTTAGTACAGAAAGGAGGATGCTGACGATAAAGAAGGTGCCGACGGTGGTTTCGAACTACCAAGAGAATGCGTCCTCCGATGACCTCAAAGCAAAGGCCGAAGGCTGTGGCCGCAATTGCCTCCGTAAATGTTGCTTGCCTGGTAAACCTTCTCGCATTTGAAATACCTGTATATAAATAAAATGTTATCTGATTGTGATTTCTATTGGAGGTGAAAAAGTTATATTGGGTTAAACATTTCCTGAATCAATTCATGTTTGGGAAAAATTAAGAACACACTTTTGGATAAATTTGGGTGATCCATTTGCAGAAGTTGTTCAAATCAAACATTACCAACTTAAAATGCTTGATTTGGCGTTTGTATCGGTTTACAGTTCATGGAATTATTGTGTAAGAAATTATCTACCAATTGAAACAAAATGCTTCTGGAACAAATTTGATCTGATTGATATCCCCTTCGATTTCTCTTAATAGTTTCCAAGCTTCCTCTCTATGCATTCAGCAACTGTGAGCACGAGAAATCCTGTGAAGATAAGCTGTGTCCCTCTTCATCCTTTCTGAACAACCTACTTTTAGGGCAGTGGGAGGATCGCATGTGTAAGGGTCTATTCAGATACGATGTGACCTCGTGCGAGACTAAGCTCATCCCAGGCATATACGGGTTTATTGCCCAGCTCAATGAGGGCCGCCACCTCAAGAAACGGCCCACGGAATTCCGAGTTGACAAAGTCCTTCAGCCGTTTGACCAGAAAAAATTCAATTTCACTAAAGTCGGCCAAGAGGAAATTCTCTTTCGGTTTGAGCCGTGCAAAGAAGGCGAATCTCGTTATTTTCCGAGCTGCCCTGTTGATTTTGAGGAAAGCTCGCCCAGTGTAGTTGCTATCAATGTAAGATAATTTTCTGTTGCATTTCTGAATTTTTTTATATTGCAATGTACAGTATGTAATTTTTGCTTTTATTTTATTTTATTTTATTTTTCAGGTGAGCCCAATCGAGTATGGTCACGTGCTCCTCATACCACGAGTCCTCGATTGCCTGCCTCAGAGAATAGACGGCGACAGCCTGGCGCTTTCTCTTAACTTTGCGAAAGAGGCTTCGGACCCGTTTTTCCGAGTGGGTTACAACAGCCTGGGTGCATTCGCAACAATAAATCACCTCCACTTTCAGGTAATTAATTGATTAATTCACACGATCTTTTGCGTGTGTTCATGTGAAACTGAGTTTAAGATTGGAACTGTTGTTGTGGTTTTTCACAGGCGTACTACTTGTCTGTGCCTCTCCCGATAGAGAAAGCACCAACTTCCCGAATAATGAGTCTCGAAAATAGAGTAACCGTGTCCAAGTTGCTGAATTATCCTGTGCTGGGGCTCGTTTTCGAGGGCTGCCAAAGTGATCTTTGTGAGGCAGTCGCAAATTCCTGCATTGTCCTTCAGAGCAAAAATATCCCATTCAATATACTAATTTCAGATTGCGGCCGCAGAGTATTTCTGCTGCCTCAGGTGATGTGATTCACATTTTTTTTTTGTATTTACTCTGTCAAATTTTGGTCGTTAAAAATTAAATTCTGACATTTACTTCAAATTTTTTTTATAGTGTTATGCGGAGAAGCAAGCGCGTGGGGAAGTGAGGGAAGAGCTTCTGGAGACTCAAGTGAACCCAGCTGTTTGGGAAATAAGTGGGCACATGGTTCTGAAAAGGCGTAAGGATTATGAGGAGGCATCTGAAGAGTACGCGTGGAGGCTTCTTGCGGAAGTTTCGTTATCAGAAGAGGGATTTGAGGATGTGCAGAGGCTTGTCTGTGAGGCTGCTAATCTGCAGCTAGACGAGGAGTATGTGGGAGTGCTGGAAAACACGTATAGTTCGGCTAAAACTCGACATCTCCCTCAAGATTGTCTTGTGCTGCATTAG